GGGGGGGGGGGGGGGGGGTTGAATTAAAATTCCTTCAGTCGACTTCCTGTATTGGTCAGTCGACTTACCTGCAAGTTAGTACCACATTTATAAAGTAATAGCAAATGCAGTAAGTAAACAACGCATAGAGTTTTATATTGGTTCGGAACACCGATGTGGCGCCTACTTTCAGTCCCCTTGGGTTTCAAGGGTTTTCTTAAGAGCTTGAAGAGAACTTAAATAGTACAAGGTATTTCGACTGTAAATCCTGTCTAATGTGCAAATCAAAACTTCTACTTTGACACAACCTCTATTCGTATAACCTACACTCAGTTTCTTCTTTCTTTTTTTTCAGTCGTATACTCACTAGAATACAATGCATTTATGAAAGACAATAGTACAAGTTCAAGTGAAGTGCGTACTTCACAACTAATGTAAAGGCATGTTTATATAGATAGGTATATGCTCTTGAAAGGAAACCCCAAGGATATTTCAATCAAGGATATTGATGGATTACTTGATTGATGTGATTTGTTGATCCATGTCCATATTGAATATGTGCATGCTAAAAGATATATGCATTTATGAAAGACAATAGTACAAGTTCAAGTGAAGTGCGTACTTCACAACTAATGTAAAGGCATGTTTATATAGATAGGTATATGCTCTTGAAAGGAAACCCCAAGGATATTTCAATCAAGGATATTGATGGATTACTTGATTGATGTGATTTGTTGATCCATGTCTATATTGAATATGTGCATGCTAAAATCTCTTTCCTTGATTGGGGTGATTTGTTGATCCATGTTCATATTAGATATGTGCATGCTAAAATCACTTCTACTTCCTTCTATTGATGATCTTCTAGATTCTTGACTTAATTGTCTCTTGTGATTGCTGATCTTCAGATTTCATTCAAGATAGCCTTGGACCTATTCTTGTTTCTGCAGGCCTGCAGCTTTGCTTGATTCTTGGATTAGATTGCTGATCTTCAGAGACTTGATTATAAATCAAGATTGAATTGATTTAACCGTTGCAAGGTTGTGCTAATTTGTATCCCTTTGATTAAGGGACCATGTCTCTTTTCCTTCTTAGTGTTGCGTGCTTGATTTCTTTCCTTTTGAATTTCTTTGCCTTCAAAGAGCATGATTAATTATTAAGTGTCGTTAATCAAAATCAACTACTTCTATGGAGTTAACAATTTTCCCGTTTTTGATAATGACAATTAATTCACAATTAAATATAGTGTTGAAAGATAGTGAAACTTCCCTGATGTTTACGTGTAGCTCCCCCTGTCTTTATGCTTCCTTGTTTTGCTGGTAGCTCCCCCTGTCTATATGAAAATTGTGGTGTAGGTTTTTTTTCTCCCCCTGTGACATAATAAAAAAGAGGAAAAAGAGGGCACACATAGTAATGACAAAGAAGAAACAGAGTAGATAATATTAGGGTAGCAATTAAGAAGACTATGAATCTTCAGGAGAAATCCACAAAACAGAAGTAGGGACAAACCCCTATTGAAAGATAGTTCAACAAAAACAGTTAAAAGAAAAAATATCTAAGGTTAGGAGTTAGCGATCGGCCAGAAAGTATTTTAGAGTGTTGATGACTTTGCCACAAAAGGAGTTGTAGGAGCATTCCACATTTCGAGAGAGACTGGAGTAGGATGTCTGGACAGTGACTCCAAGATCATTGTTGGAGGAGCTAACTCCACTCTTAAGAGCGTCAACTTGTTGGATCAACTTTTTGACAATGGAGATTCCTTCTTGTTTGATATCTGTCATAGCAATACGCAACTTATCCACGTCAGTACTCGTCTCCTTTTGCAAGCGAAATACCTTTTCAACTGCTTGGTGAAAAGCTTCCAGTCCCCGTTCCACTGCCAGAATGCAAGTCTTAAGTTCATCATTATCCTGTAGTAGGAGGGCAGCCGACTCTACAAAAAAAATTGTGGGTTTGATTGTTTCAGCTCGTGCCTTTACACAGTCCTTTTTCACCCACTTGTTTTCTACCTGCACATACCCCATACTAGAGAAAGTACGAGAATCATAAGTAGCATTGATAACAACAGGTATAAATATAGAGAGATCCACGAGGCGATAAATCAGAATACGCGAGATGCAGCCCATAAGGCAGACTTCCAGAAGCGTTTGGATCTTAAGCATTTTCCAGCATGTATTATTTGAACCAAACCGCCTAGTTTATGCGATACTTTTTTAGGAGGTCGTAGAGGACAAATACATCCCGAGTCGAGATGTTACTCAGAGATCCCTTCCTAGGAATGAGAGTGGTTGCAACAATGTGTGCTAAGATGCGATGTTCAAAGCAAAGAGATAGAGGTCCAAACTCAGATAGGTTAGAATCAAGTTCTACCACGATTTTCTTAGCCCATTCAAGAGAAACTTCAATCTCATCAGGACAAACCCGTTCATGTAAGGAATTACACCAGAAAATTTTGTATCAAATACATCTGCAAACAATAGTTCATTAATAATAATACGATTTCCCATCACTAGAATTTCCATCTCACCACTGACAATAGATATGCGAAGCTTTGCATAGAGAAGTTGACCAACTTCTTCAAAAAATTCAAGACCACACAGACTAAACAAAAAGGATAATTTTTTAGCCTTGAGATATGAACTTACCAGGCAGTTGAAGTCCCTAAATTGACTAAGATTGATAACGCGACAATGAACAATTGGTTGAGTTTTGAAGAGATCAGACTTGTTCTTCTGCTCAATCCCCCAAAAGCGTTGCATGTCTTCTGGAGAAAAAGATCTTGTCGTATTTGGACGAGGTATCTTTGGAGCCTTCTTCTTGGCGCAAGAGGCTCTCTTTTTGGAGGAGGGAGACAATGATCCTAGCGATTCATCGGATGAATTGGAGGAGAGGGACAAGATATGAACTTCAGAGGAACTCGAAGGAGCTGAGTTCTTGAGAGAGGCCATGGATCGATTTCTAGGCATAGTTGAATGAGGGAGATAGAAGGAAGAGTGCATATAAATAGAGAGAGAAAGAAAAGATGAAGGGTTTTGAAAGAAAGGAGGGAAGATAGAAAGGAAAGGGTGAAAAAATGAGTGATTAATTAAAAGACGGTTGCTTATGGAGAATAGAAAAGGGCGGAGTAGCATTAAATAAGGTCTGAAACCAAAACAAACATTAAAATCATAAAAGGGAAATAAATCATATCAATTAAAGCAGGTAATTCCAAGACAATTTCGAAGAAAACAAAATCTTTCCTCAAGCAGGGTGTTTAGTAAAATTCAGCTAATTGATTTTCAGAATCTATGAATTTTAAAGAGAAATCACCATTTTCAACATGATCACGAATAAAATGATGCTTACTGTCAATATACTTGGCCCTAGAATGATGCACAGTATATTTAGAAAGGCTAATTTATAGCGCTAGTATTATCGTAGAAAATAGAAACAACTTCATAAGAAAGATCATAATCAAGTAATTGATGCATCATCCATAGTAGTTGAGTACCAAAACTTCCCATGACTAGATATTCAGATTTAGTAGTGGATAGTGCAAACGAGGTTTGCTTTTTGTTGTGCCAGGAGATCAACGATTGACCCAAAATTTGGCATGTTCCACTTGTACTTTTATGATCATTTTTGTCACCTGCAAAGTCAACATCTGAATAGCCAATCAAATCAAAATGGGATGAGTAAGGATACCAAAGCCCTAAGTCTAAATTTCCAATCAAATAGCGAATAATTCGTTTTACTATAGTAAGATGTGACTCTTTTTGAGCAGATTGAAACCTCACACACTTGCATACACTATACATGATATCTAGTCGGCTAGCAGTACGATAAAGTAGTGATCCAACCATTCCTCGATACATTTTTGCATCTACATCTTTACTTGGTGCATCTGTTTCAAGGCAAGTGGATGGAATCATTGGAGTGCCAAATGCTTTTCCCTTGTCAAGGCCGAACTTTTTGATCAGTTCCTTTGTATATTTAGTTTGACTGATAAACGCCCCATTTGTTAACTCCTTGATTTGTAGTCCGAGGAAGAATGTGAGTTCTCCCATTAGACTCATTTTGAATTCTCCTTTCATAAGTTTTGCAAAGCTGTCACACAGAGTGGGGTTAGAACTTCCAAAGATAATATCATCAACATATATTTGAACTATAAGAATATATATACCAGATATTTGAATAAAAAGAGTTGTATCAATTTTCTCCCTTTGAAATTTATTTTGAAGTAAAAAGGCACTTAGTCTCTCATACCAGGCTTTGGCAGCCTGTTTGAGACCATAAAATGCTTTGGAAAGTTTGTAAACAAAATCAAGGCAAGAAGGATTTTCAAACCCGGGGGGTTGTTTGACAAAAACTTCTTCTTTTATGAAACCGTTTAAAAAGACACTTTTTACATCCATTTGAAAAGTTTAAAACCCTTAAAAGATACATATGCAAGTAAAATTTGTCAAACCTTGCTAACGGAGCAAAAGTTTAATCGTAATCAGTACCATCCTGTTGGGTGTATCCTTGAACAACCCGTCTTGCTTTGTTACGAATGACTTTTCCATCTTCATTTAGCTTATTTCGAAAGACCCATTTGGTTCCAATTACGGAACAATTTTTTGGTCATTCAGTGAGAGTCCATATTTGATTTGTTTCAAACTGGTCAAGTTCTTCTTTCATTGCTTGTCTCCAGGATTCATCTTCCATTGCCTCATTTATACGCTTAGTTTCAAGTTGAGACACAAGTGCTACAGATGCTTGTTTTCTCAATAAAGCTCTGGTCTGTATTGAGTTGGTTGGTTTACCCATGATGAAGTGATTTGGATAGTTGGCGATGTGTCTCCATTCTTTGGGAGTGCCTGTCTTTTCGATTGGACTAGTCGACGTTGGTTCTGGAGTAGTCGACTCCTCTGTTGTAATTTTCTCATAAGTGTTTGAGAAATTCTCAATGCTCAATATAGGAGTAGTTTCATCATCTGTTGATTCTATTTTCTGCATCCTTGGGTTAGTGTCATCAAAACGACATGACAGATTCTTCAACACTTTTTGTTTATTAAAAACTCAAAATGCACGACTGACTAGTGCATAACCTAAGAATATACCTTCATCACTTATTGGATCAAACTTACTTAGATTTGTCTTACCATTGTTGTGAATAAAGCATTCGCATCCGAAAGGATGAAAATAGCTAATATTTGTCTTCTTACCTCTCCATAGCTCATATGAAGTTTTCTTTAAAATCGGTCTGATAAGGCATCTGTTAAAGATATTTTAAAAATATTGTATGCAGTAATTACTGCTTCAGCCCAGAAGGGATTAGGAAGATTTCGATCAAGAAGCATGGTTCTGGTGTTGTCTTGTAATTAAACGATATTTTCCTTTCTACCACGCCATTTGCTGAGGTGATCTAGGAGATGAATTTTTTTGAGTGAAACCATTTTTATCACAGAATTCCTCAAATGCTTTATTTTCAAATTCTCCACCATAATCTCTATGAATCGTATAGATGAAGTATCCTGCTTCTCTTTGTACTTTTCTACAAAACACTTCAAAGTTAGAGAAAACTTCATTTTTATGAGATAAGAAAATTTTCCAAGTGAATCTTGAAAAGTCATCAACGATGACGAAAGCGTATTTCTTACAACCAATGCTAGCAGTTCGAGTGGGACCAAAAATATCCATATGAAGAAGTTGCAAAGGGTTAGTAGTACTTACAGTATCCTTGATCTTGAATGAAGAACGAGTTTGCTTACCAAGTTTACAGACATCACATATATGGTCCTTTTCGAATTTTAACTTTGGAAGTCCAATGACTAGTTCAAGTCTGCACAATTTTCCTAAGGCATGCATGCTTGCGTGACCAAGTTTTTTGTGCCATAGCCAAGAATCATTAGATACTGCAGTTAGACATGTAAGTGTTGGTAAGTTCACGTTGTTTAGAACATAGATATTATCAACAAGATCTCCAATGATTGTGATGTCCTTAGTCGCATGTCTGATGGTGCAAGTTGTAGCATTGAATGAGACTTTGAATCCAACATCGCATAGTTGATTTATGCTAAGCAAGATGTTTTTAAGTCCTTCCACCAGGTATACTTCTGATAGATCACATGACGAGATAAGAGTGATTGATCCAACTCCTACTACTTCTCTTTTTGCATTGTCACCGAATCGTACATATCCTCCATCGATTTTGTTAAGAGTTTTGAAATTTTCTTTATTTTCGCACATTTGTCTGGAGCATCCACTTTCTATTACCAGCATTCCCTTTTTGTAGGTTCTTTTGGTCTTCTCCTGCAAAACAAGTAGATTAATTTCTTTTAGGTCTCCAAGTATTTTTGGGTCCTTAAGGGTTAGGATTAACAACTTTTGATCTCCAAATCCATTTTACAGAAGAAAATTTCCTACAGTTAAAAGATTTGTGACCAAGGTCAGCACAAGTATAACATGTGAAGTTAACAAAAGTTTCAGCATGATGAACTAGGGAAAAAATTGTTAGATCTAATGGAGCCATAGTTAGGGGAGTTTCTGATGAGGTTAAGATTAGATCTGTTAAATCCAACTAGAGCTATGACTAGGAGATTTTCTGATGCTATTCAGTTTCATCTTTACTTCCTCTAGTTCCTCTTCTAGTAAGTCGACTTCAATTTGACTTTCTTCTAGAAGTATTTGCCGGTCCTTCTTTTCTTGAGCGATTTTGTTGTATTCATCGATTACTTTCTGCAATTCGTCACTAACCATATCCAAGGAATTTTGTAAGTTACTACATTTTGAACAATTGTAAGTTCTTACCTCACTTGTTTCGGCTCTTGCCAAGAAACACATGTTGGCAGTTTCATCATATGATCATCTTCGGATGTTTCTCCTTGTCTCCAAGCCCCGAGACTTGTTGGATCTTTAGTTCTCCGATTTTTTCTCCTTTTTCGTTTCGAACAGTTCTGTTTGATGTGTCCTGGTTTTCCACAATAATAATATCTATCATAATTTCCTTGATATCGTTGTTCTTATAGTTTTATTGAGATCTCTGCCTTCTTTGTCAGAGCATTTGTCTAACTCATCTGTTTATAAGAACCATTCTTTCACTTTGATATTCATCAGCTTCTTCCTCGATTTCAGTTGTTCCAATAGTAAAGGTGACAAGTTTCTTTTTGTCATCTTTATTGTATCTGTTAATATGATTCTTCTCGTATGCCATCAAGTTTCCACGAAGTTCATCATAGGTCATTTTTTGCAGATCTCCATCTTCAAGAATAACAGCTTTAGTTTCCCAAGCCTTGGGAAGACTTCAGATGAGCTTCCTGACTTGTAATCCGTTAGAGTATACCATTTCGAGAGATTTGAGTTCGCAAATAATTTTGCTGAACCTTGAGAACATGTCTTCCACATTCTCATTTTCTTCCATTTTGAATAACTCATATTCGTTGACCAGTGAACTGATCCGAGTTTCTTTAACTTTGTTGGTTCCTTCATACATTACTTAAAGTTTGTCCCATATTTCTTTTGCAGTTTCATATGTTGAGATTTTGTCATATTCTGCTTCGCTGACTGCATAATTCAACAAACTTATAGGTCTAGCGTTAGTTTGAATTACCTCTTGTTGTTCCTTTGTATCATCAAAAGATTCAGGATCGAAAGTTTTGTCGGTACCATCTTTTCCAGCGAGTTCGAGAATAGGCTTTAGACCCTTGTTTATTACAATCCAAGCTTGTAGGTCTTTTGAAGTCACGAATATTCTGAACATATCTTTCCAGTGAGAGTAATGCTGACCGTTGAAGTAGGGTGGCCAGTTTGAGAAATTTCCATCTTGAAGTGGAGCGTTGGCAATCTGATACTTTGCCATGGATCTTTGCTCATGTGTGGTTAAACATTTTTTTTATCTGTGAGACCTTCTTTGATACCAATTGAAAGTAAAGAAGGGGTGAATTAAAATTTCTTCCGTCGACTTCCTGTATTGGTAAGTCAACTTACCTGCAAGTTAGTAACACAACTATAAAGTCATAGTAAATGCAGTAAGTAAACAACGCAGAGAGTTTTATACTGGTTCAGAACACCGATGTGGTGCCTACTTCCAGTCCCCTAGGGTTTCAACGGTTTCCTTAAGAACTAGAAAAGAACTTAGGCAGTACAAGGTATTTCTACTGTAAATCCTGTCTGATGTGCAAATCAGAACTTCTAGTTTGACACAACCTCTACTCGTATAACCTACACTCATTTTCTTCTTTCTCTTTTGTTTTTCAGTTGTATACTCATAAGAATACAATGCTTTTATGAAAGACAACATAATACAACTTTACAAGTTCAAGTGAAGTGCGTACTTCACAACTAATGTAAAGGCAGGCTTACATAGATAGGTATATGCTCTTGAAAGGAAAACCCAAGGGTATTTCAATCAAGGATATTGATGGATTCCTTGATTGAGGCATTTTGTTGATCCATGTCCATATTGAATATGTGCATGGTAAAATCACTTTCCTTTATTGGGGTGATTTGCTGATCCATGTCCATATTAGATATTTGCATGGTAAAATCACTTCTACTTCCTTCTTGTGATGATCTTCTAGATTCTTGACTTAATTGTCTCTTGTGATTGCTGATCTTCAGATTTCATTCAAGATAGCCTTGGACCCGTTCTTCTTTCTTCAGGCAGCTTTGCTTGATTCTTGGATTAGATTACTAATCTTCAGACTTGATTATAAATCAAGGTGGGCTTGATTTAATTGGTGCAGGGCTGTGCAAATCTATATCCCTTTGATTAAGGGATCATGTCTCTTTTCCTTCTTAGTGATGCGTGCTTGGTTCCTTTCCTTCTGGATTTCTTTGCCTGTGAAGATCCTGATTAATTATATTGAGATTCATCTCAGAGGAAGAACAAAGCTAACTTAATTCTTCGATATTTTAAGATATATAGTACTAGTAAGACAAGAGAAATTAAGAATTCAAAAAAGTCACAAATTATTATAACATGATACAAAAGAGTAGAGGCGGACCCCATACATCAGAGTGAACTAACTCACTTATATGAACCTTACGCGATGCAAATTTGAATTAATTGAAGGACCTAATATATTTATCAGATAACAAATAAAAAATAAACAAAAGATGAATACCACCTAAAAACTTTAAAAACTCCTCAGGCCCATCTATCTTTCTAAGGCGTTAATATCTTGAAAGGTCACTCAACTATGGAAAATTATCTAGTTAAGACATTAAATTTTATTTTATATCACTAAAATCACTCAACTTAATACTTTTAAGTTTTATCTTTTATAATCATTAAATTACATTTGTCATTCAAATAAATTTAACATGATAAATTAAATTATTTTTATGCCATGCAATCATGGACCCCACAACTAAATAAAATAATATTTTTTTTATTTTAATATCGTATAATCATGGACCATAACTAGCCTAAGCTATCTCAGCCAACAAACAAGGATTCGACAAAATGAGAGTTACAAGGTTTAGGCGCTTAAACCTGGAGGAAACAATTATCAGTAGTTGGAAGTGGCGGAATGGAGCTATCCATGTACCCCAGTCGAGCACCACCTAAAGAAAATAAGTGGAACAAGTAAGTAGAGTACAAGGCAACAAAGGAGGTTAATGAAGCATCCCTACCTAGTGAGTAATTCATCCCCCATCACATGGCATTGAGAAGATCAACAAAAAGAGCATAGTCCATTATATCGGAGAACACAACTTACAACAGAGATGTCAGAAACACAAACAAAGGGGAAAGAAATATTGAAGAGAATGAAATACTTACTATTGATATCTAAAATTCAAATTTGTAAGAATATCCACATCATCATGTTGATGATCCATAGTAAGAGGAGGCAGAATCTTTTGTTCAACCATAGTGAGAACATTACTCAGATTGCAAGGGTATGCTGGAAAGAAGCGAGGAGTTGGAATTAGGAAATGAAGAGATCGATGCGGTTTAGGGAACCCTACCTTCTAGGCATATGTTTAAGGGATGGGAATCTGATGGGCTGGAC